GACTTAGTTCAAACCAATCAGCGCGCTCTATTGTGCAACTTCATTAATATTCATTAATGTCACAGTGTTCAGACGGCAGAAGCGTGCAGTGTTGCGTTTATAATGTGCTGCAGTGACGGTTTTGTTTTGTTTTCTCTGTATGAGAGCGCAGCTGGACTCATGTGTGGATCACAGTGTACGCGACGCGCGACAACTATACGTGTCTGAGGAACATTGTTTACCCGAGAGCTTTTCTCATCTGGAGATGGTGAGATCCGGATTCGCTGCTCGTCTCCTCTTAATAAAGACGCGGCTCTAGTTGCTGGTGATTGTCCTGTCTCCTACAGATTTGGTTAGTAAGCGACCAGCGCTCTTTGTTTATTCACATGGCAAACTTACTTCGTATCAAACTAACTATTATGCTGTGTTCACACCAGAAGCGGAGTGCACGGATAAATCGTGCTATTCGCGCTTAAATTGTCGCGTGAACATTTGAGTTTACTCACTTTATTCGCGCATCAAATTCACTTCAGAACAGATGTGGATTTGCGTGATGGGCAGGGCTTCTTTCTGCCCGGCGACTCTAGCTTCGTTGCTAAAAGGCTAACATGGATTTTATGAAGAAAATAGCAGGGTTTATGTGCATTATGAAGGCTGAAAAACAGTGTCGATACGTTTAGGGTCGTGTCTGAGTGCACTAGATAGTTAAAGAGATGCATCCAGCTCTGTGAGCTCATAGACTCCTCCAGAAACTGAACCTGGATGACGGAGGCTTTCAGCGGCGCTTCTGACTGAGCCCAGCCCAGTTAGATGAACTGTTGTCAGTGTCGGCTGGAGGATTTCCCCTGGGACACCATCAACAGGCGATACGTCACAATCACGCCCACACAAGAGCAAGCTCCTGATTGGTTAACACGGCGCGAATGTCCACTGAAGTTCAGATTTCAAACTCGAGCGATTCGCGCAAAACACATGTTAAGCGCATAAAACGCTTAATAAGGAACCACCCCATTTGCGCAATTCACGTCATTCGCGTGAATCACGCTGCAGGATGTCTATTCACGCATTTGCATTGACTTAACATGTAAATCACTCACGCTTGATGCGCATTCTGCGTCTGGTGTGAACACAGACACCGAGTGTAAACATGTTAGCACCACGACCAAACCTACTGTCATGGAGGATTTTCACCACATATTGTGACAGGAATAACACACATGGCTTTCTGCCGCTACCTGCCGAGTGCATCTAAGTTACAGAGAATATCTGGTTTGTGGTGAGGAACATGACTGAAATTCCTGAACGAAAGAGCCAAACTGCAGTTAAAGTCCACCATTTAATATAATTAGACAAATAACTCAATTACAGATGTCCATGCAAACAGTCACTGTCTTTCTCCCCTGTTTGTGTGTGTGTGTGTGTGTGTGTGTGTGTGTGTGTGTTTTGACTCTGAAAATCAGCTGAAACCGACACTCCCATTTTAATGCAAATTTTTACAGACCCTCCCTCTTTTGCTCCTCGACACTCCCCCCTAAACAGAGCTGGACACGCCCACTTTCCTGACTTTTTCCAAAGTAGAGGTATAAACCCCCTGCTGAAACGAGCGGGTGTCACGGCCCTTTAAATAGGAGTGATCCCATTCAATATCTGTTGAGTTTCCTCCTAACTTTTTTAGTTTCCTAATCAAACACGGAGCTAAAATCAAAGAACAGTACCTGTGCATATGCATCAGCGCCTGCTAAATGATTTAATACAAAGTGCAGCACTATTGATGGCCTGGCATGTGCCTACTCCTCTGCTATCTGCAAACTGAAGTGGATCAAGTTTAGTGCTAATACACCATATACTGTGAAGCAGTTCATTATACTGACGTGAGAGCAATTGGTCTGAAGTCAGTTCTCTACAGGCAGTATTAGGCACAGGGATGATGAGAGATGTTGCTGGAAGTATCTTCAAATGAGCTGATTTGCTAAATAAAGGACACCGCACCGCTGACAGCTCTTCTGTCAGACTTTCAGTAAGAAGCCCGCGAGACCATCAGGACCAGCTGATTTGTGTGGCATATCTGCTTAAATAATAGCTGAACTTGTGCACAGTCGATCAGCAAACTGCTCTCTGCTGATTCATTAATGTAAATTGAGTGTATTCTGTCCTCTGTCTGAGTTTATACTGTGAGAGTCAGACTCTGCTCCTCTGCCGTTTGGTCATCATCAGTTGTGGATGCACACTTTCCAGCTGGTTGCACATTTGCTTTATTTCTGCTTGAGCTCTCCAGTCTTCTGATATCGGCCTGATTAAAGTTATTTTACACATTATGCTTTTGTTTTATTCTGGCACCTCTGAGCAGATGATGAACTCTGTCCTGCTTTTAAATGCAACCTTTTCCTGTTAATGCAGGTCTTCACTTCCTGTGTGATGTGCACTCTATTATTTGGACAGATTATGACTTTACTGATTACGTTATTCGTGTGTGTGTGTGCGTGTGTGTGTGTGCGTGTGCATGCATGTGTGCGTGTATGTG